CTAGAATGCTTGTAAGAGGTCATCTTAAAGGAACTGTTAAATAAAAAAAGATGAGAAATACATTTTAAAAAAGATTTAGTACATAATCTTTGCAAAGATTGTATGTCACAGTTGCTGGCTTATTTGTTGTGGTAAAGAAGACTTTTTATAATCAATTTAATATGTAGTGTATGATTACATTGTGAGACTCATGAAACTACTCTAAAAAATGAATGAAAAAATGTTCTCGTATTAGATGAGAGGGACTTGTGGTCTGTGATAAAAATTCCCAGGACAGCATCACCCACAGATTCAAAAAGTGTTATATCTCAAATAACTTAATGGAAGCCAGGTGACATGCTTTGGAAAGCTATGTCAAATGACTTAAGATTCACCCGGAAGTACTAGTACTAAAACTGTTTCAAAAAACTTAAATTAAAAAGTCATTATTTTAGCCCTGGTCGGTGTGGCTTGGTTGGTTGGCATGTTGTCCTGTGCACCAGAAGGTGGTGGGTTTGATTCCCACTCAGGCACATACCCAGGTCGTGAGTTTGATCCCCAGTCGGGGTGAAGGAGGCAGCCAATCAATGTTTCTCTCTCATACCAATGTTTCTCTCTCTCTCCCCCTACTTCTCTCTCTCTCTCAAAATGAATTTTAAAAGTTAATATTTTAGAGACTATGTTTAAATATACATGCATAACAATCAACAAATTAAACAGTGTAAGTAGACACATAATTACTTAATCTATATTCCTAAAAGTCTACATTTTTAAGTTCAACCTAAACCTTTTTTGGATCTCTTCCTTAGGGAAGTAGGAGAATGCCTTGCAGTAAAGAACATCATGTAGTCAGGCATATGCCTTATTTGCAGCCTCAGGTCTGAGACAGATTAAAGGTGTTGTAATGAAATATATACTCATTTAGCTAAAAGTTGGGATCCATGGGTATTGGTGTGGGAAACATTGGCAAGGCAGTGGGAAGAGTAGCAAAAGTCTACTGGGGAAAATGTGGGTATCAGGAAAAGTGCCAAATAGTAACATTACCGATGGTGTCTCAAGCTGGTGATTGGCACTGTTGGGCCCGCTCTGCTGTGTCTATGATTCCTACTTGCAGGCACTGCATCCTATTTCTGTCTTCCATTCACTGCACCTTTAACCAAGACCCCTTCTGATCACGTATGTGTTTACTCATGTTTTATTCAATAGTTAGTGAGCGGCTGTTATGTACTAGGTACTATGCTACTAGCATGTCCTGTAGTTCAAAGATGGTAAGACACTACTTTATCCAGAGCCCAGCGTAATGCTTGGCACTACAGTGCTGCTCGGTGTGGCAGAACAAAGAGAAAGGCAAGTGGGATGAAGGGAGGATGAGAAAGGATAGAGAGAGCAAGGAAGGGTCAGTCCCTCTTTCTCAAGGAGTCCCCGGCCGAGGGGAATACCCAGTGCTGGTGACATACGTGAATGGGAGAGAAAATTTGTGCCATCCTGGATCCCCAGTTTTGTCAAACAGCAACAGACCCTGATGACTGAAACTTTTTTATTTTTTACAGTCCTTTTTCATGCTCATTTTATTACCTTGCTTTTCTCCTAAATAAATCCCTTCAGTGGTGTCTGATCATTAGAGATCACTCTCATTTTCTCACTTTTGAGTTTTCTAACCCCCTAATGACTTTTTGTTTATCTGCCTGCTCTAACATGTGACTCCAACTTCCCTGAGACTGGCTGGCTGGCTCCGCTGAGTAATTTGTGATCTGCCAGATAATAACATTGGAGTGATTCCTGCCAAATGTCTCCCTCATATTTCAACAATTAAAAATACAAGTATCTGATGGCTGGGTTTTGCGTACACCAGAAGTTCTCAAGGCCTGGTCCGAAGACAAGCATCATCATTGTCAATAACCTCTGGGAACTTGTTAGAAATGCAAATTCATAGGCCTGGCCCCAGTTACTGAATTAGAAACTCGGGGGACAACCTGTTTTTCCACAGGCCCTCTCTGCGATTCTGATGCATGCCCAAGTTTGAGACCAGTGGCTTAGAATAACACCCTTCCCTCCCCCTTCCCGAGATATGGCCGGTTTTACATCTCCACACCGTGAAGCAGCCAGCCCTTACTTCCTTTTGTCTGTGGGAGAACCATCCTATTTTTGTCCATTCGTCAGCCTTCTAGAGGCAGCTCAAGTGTAAGGGCCTTAGGAACCCTGGGTACAGCTACTGGTTATTTATCTGTAAGTGGCTCTGATTTTCTCAGCATTCATTTTGTGAATTTGGAAAATGCAGAGAAGTTTGAAAATGAAAATAAAAATGGAACTGTAATCTTTCTGCTGAATAGTAACCACTGCAAACATATATGAACCTTCTCTTAATTATCGTTTATAGAAAATTTTAAAAGCACACATAAGAAAGATTAATATAATAAACTTGAACTACCGTTCCAAATTCACAATGTAAGCATTTTGTCAGTTATGTTTATTTTTTTAAATTAATGACTTAGAAAACATTACAGATGAAGTAAAATACTATCCCTCACCCCATCCTATTTCCCTTTTTAGTCTCATTCCTCTCCCTCCCACCCTAAAGGGCACCGCCATCATGGTTCTGATGGTATTACACACACACACACACACACACACACACACACACACAGATAATATTTGGTATTATTATATGTATTTTACATTTTTATGCAAATATTACTATATACTGTATATCATTTGGCAACTTGCTTTGTAAAATTCAACATTGTTTTGAGAGCTACTATTGAGATATATCGATCTATCTCTCCTGCAGATATATTGATCCAAATTATTAATAATTAACATCTGAATAGCACTTTATCATATGACTAGAGGCCCAGAGCACAAAAATTTGTGCACTCGCAGGGGGGGGTGGTGGTGTCCCTCAGCCTGGCCTGTGCCCTCTCACAGTCTGGGATCCCTCGGGGGATGACGACCTGCTGGCTTAGGCCTGCTCCCCGAGGAATTGGGCCTAAGATGGCAAACAGACATCCCTCTGGCAGCCCGGCAACCCTCGGGGGATGTCCACTTGCCAGCGGGGAGCAGACCTAGGCTGCAGTCAGACATCCTTAGCGCTGCTGAGGAGGCGGGAGAGGCTCCCGCCACCACCGCTGTACGGCAGCCATCGGCCTGGCTTGTGGCTGAGCAGAGCTCCCCATGTGAGAGAGCCCTGACCACCAGAGGGCAGCTCCTGCATTGAGCGTCTGCCCCCTGGTGGTCAGTGTGTGTCAGGGTGCCTGGCCAGCCTGGGTAAGGGGCTGATGCTATTTGCAGCTAGTCACACCCCCTTCAGGTTGGGGGTCCCCACTGGGGTGCCTGGCCAGCCTGGGTGAGGGGTTGAGGGCCGTTTTCAGGCTGGCCGGTGACTGAAGCTCCCAGCCTCTCCTTTTTTTTCTTTTTGGTTTTATTCTGGTATTTATTTACCTTCTATAATTGAAACTTCGTTGCTGTCACTGGAGTCGAGAGCCGGCTCCAGCTCTGAAACTTCATTGCTGTCACTGGAGCTGAGAGCCAACTCTAGCTCTGAGGCCACTGCCGGCTGAAAGTAGGTATCTGGGGTTTGTTTAGCTTCTATAATTGAAACTTTGTTGCTTTCGGAGCTCAGAGCCAGGCCGCAGCAGGCGGGGAACCTTGGCTTCTTCCATCACTGGATCAAGCAAGCCTCCTGCTCGCTTCAGCTGCATGGCTGCTGGCGGCCATCTTGGTTGGTGGTTAATTTGCATATCACCCTGATTAGCCAATGGGAAGCGTAGGGAAGGTATGGTCAATTACCCTTTTTGTCTTTTATTAGATAGGATTATATAACTACTTATCTCTGGGTATATCAATCATATTAATGTTCGGTTGGAGGGTCTGCACATTTTCAACTTCACAGGCATTGCCAAATTACTCTCCAAAGTAGGTGCACTGATTCCAAATTTTTTCTATGTATAAATGTGTCTTTTTGCTTTCAACACTGAGTAATTACAACACTTTGTCCGGAGCATTTTATTATGGTATTAAATATTTTTCCAAAATAAGGCTTTAAAATGCTGGGTAGAATTTTCTTGGATAATTGTACATAATTATTTAATTATATAGATTTTTCTCCTAAATTCTCACAATTTACAAATAAATCTAATGTAAATATTCCTGTGCATAAATCCATGGTCATTTTGATAATTCATTTAGAATTATTTGTTAAAATAAGAACTGCATAATTTTAGGGCCCTTCATAAATTTCTGAATGTGCCAGGAGGGTAATTTTAGGAAAGTACTTCAGGCCATATTTCTCAAACTTTTGACACCCATACATGCCCTCTTCTGCTAAATATTAAAATCTATTCTTTGTGCCTCCAAGATTTTGATAAGTTTATCTTCCATATAAACCCATCATTCAA